ATGAATAAATGATACTTCCCGGGCGGCTGATCACAGAGCTGGGATCTAAATTAGATTAAATGCAGCTATAGATTCTTTAAGCACGCAGTCTGTAGTGGCCATGGGGGGAGACAGTCTTCACTTTCTGTAGTCATTGAGCTTGTTCCCTTGCAGCTGGGGAGCTGTTTGAGTTGAGCTGCTACGGGGAATTGGTTTTTCCCAGGCTCAGCTGTTTGTCCCTTGACCACAGACCAACATGGCCAAGGGGCAGATAGAACTGTACTAGCCTGCAATTCATAGGATAAATGCTGTTAGTATTTTTCTGGTAGAAGTGTAGAGCTGAGAACTGAAAGACAAGCATTTGGAAGAGCAATGAGAAACACTAAATAGGGAGATCACTGCAGATATGAAATCTGTACAAGTACTGTCCCAGTTACTTGAAGGTTGGGTACTGCTGAAGCTCAGGCAGTCTGACTGTCCTAGGGGGAGAGCAGGGACTTCGGTGATGTGCCAGGAAAAAAAGAAAAGAGAGAATGACAGATACCTTGTTATGTGATCAAAAGTAATAACGTGCTAGCAGAGCACAGTATTTCACAGCCTTGGTGCAGGCATTCTGGCATGTGGATCTGCTCGTAGGTTTTTGTGGTGGAAACACCATGCTTCATCTTCTCCACGTGTTTGCACAGCTGTTATTCAAAATGTTTTTCAGGTGTGTTCTGTGGGAGTCCTTATGGTTTGCCTGGCATCTCCAAGGGCTCACACCGCAGTCGTGCCGCTTGCTCTGCCTTTCAGCTGATCTGTTCTTGTTTGGCCTTTGCAGTCTCCAGCAAATTGGATATGCGTTAGCAAAGCAATTTGGTAGCAGTGCAGAGAGTGTGACTTTCAGCTGCCTACACACAAGATCATATCATAGAAGAGGAAGGTTAAAGTCTTTCCTGAGGTGGCTGTGGTGAGATCACACTGAGATTCTATTTAAATTACAGAGGAAAAATTAATTTAACTCAGAGGATTAAATAGCTACTGTTTAATGAATTAAATAGATTTAGCTTACATTTGTAATTGCCAGTTACTTTTCTACTGAAAGACTGCCTCTGGCTGGTAAAATGCTCACAGCACTCCTTGCTAACCAAAAGAAAATGCATCCTGCAGGTTCTTTACTGTTGCAGAAAAGATAGATGTTGCATTTCTTGTTTATCAGAACAGTAAGTTGTGATTTAAGCCAAGGTGCAGCACCTATTGAGATCCAGGCTCAATTAATTGCAAGGGCTTTCAGTAACTTGTTAGTTTATAATTCCATTAGGGATGCTGGAGTAACACAAAAAAAAATATTACTCTGTGCATAGAAAACTAATATATTTCCTGGGCAAAGGAACCATTACATGGAATTAACTTGTGATTCAAATTAATTGGCCCAATCACTGTCCTCCGAGACCTTGCAGCTGATGGTCTCTCCAGCCTGCTGCACCTCTATCTGGAAGAAGGGCATGTGCTTTCCAGCCTTTCATCTCTTGGATGACTTCTGACTTCTTGCACCATTAGACAAAGCTGCCTAAGCTGGAAGGGAATGTTGGAGGGCAGGGGAAGCTGCTGCTGCCTTCAGAGCCCAGCTGAGAAGTGCTGTAGTGAACATGCCCTGCTTTTCCAGGGGTAGAAGGAAAAGGTGCTGATTAAGTGGTTTTCTTACAGTTAACTTGGCCTTTCCTGGTCTTAGTTCCATGTGCTATTTAATGGCATGTGAATAAAATGATCTGTTTTGTCGTTGCTTCCTGATGCTGCAACTGATGCACTGTGTGACAGATCTTTCAGGAGCCTAAGAAAGCCAACCAGGTGGAGCAGGTGCTGGTGGAGTATGCCAAGTGCATAAAGGTGAGTGGAGCTGGCAGGGTGGTGGGAGTGAATCATCTTGTCTTGCAGATGGGAGCACTGGTAAAGACAGCTTTGCAGCTGTTAGCTGGGAAAGAGGGCTCTAATCCAGGTGTGCGTTTCTGAAGCACAGAAATCTTCCCTGCTCTGGTTTAAGTTGTTGGTCCCTCTCTCACAGCGGTGCAGCCAGGCTGGAGGCCAGATGACGGGGGCCCTGCTGCTTTCTGTAGTTGGAGGCAAAATGAGTGAAGGAATCAATTTCTCAGATGACCTGGGAAGGTAAGGTGGCTGCTCCTTTTGAGGTGAGCACTTGGCTTGTAGTGCAGTGACTCCGAGCAGGATGGACACATTGGAACTTGCATAGATAGAAAGTCTGGGGATCAGGTGGCTTGGGCTGATGCTCGAGCCGAGTCTGCAGGTAATGTAAAACTCACTTGTCCAGTGTACTTTTCATGTGAGTAATGCAGTTAGGCTTGCTGTGCTAGATAATTCCTTGTTCTGGCACCCTGAATCCCTCTGCAGCTTCCAGTTCAGAGTGTGCTTGTCAGACTAGTGTGTTTTACTGCTGCCTTTGGTCTTCAAGGCTGGCTGTCTTTCAGGGGTACAGTGACCTCTAATTTATCAGTCTGTTGGCAAAGTGCTTTAGGATGAGACATAAAGAATAATGCGGTCCTCCCTCACCCCTTGCAGGTGTGTGATTATGGTGGGAATGCCTTACCCCAACATTAAATCTCCAGAGCTTCAAGAGAAAATGACTTGGCTCGATAAAACAATGGTAACAGACACACCTCTGCTTTTTTTACCTCTGATTTTTACTACTAACTTCCCTCCAGGCACCCGAGTTCCACTGTTGCCTTCAAAGATTCCTTTTTCCTTTGAGCTTTTCCATGTTTCTCAGACTGTGGTAATGGGAGCACAGCCACCCCCATACTGCATTTGTACAGTAAGACCTATGCACAGGGGTCAGTGGAGAGAAGCAACACCAGGGCTCCCTGGGAAGTGAGTTCCAAGGGGAACCAAGTCCCTTCACAGCAGAGGAGGTGTCAAGGTGGTAGAAGGTGTATGCCAGGCTGACTTCTCTTGGTGTACTTGTTTTTACTGCCCACTGGAGACACTGTTCCTGAGCAGCAAGGGACAAGTGCTCTGCTTTCAAAGGGGCCTTAGGCTGGCTCTCTGTGACTGTTCAAAATAATTGTCTAAAACTGCAGCTTTTCATCTGTCTGTCCTTGCACTCAGCTTGAGATCTGTGTGGATACCCACTCATTCTGCCAGGATAAAAGTATTTGTTTACCTCACTTCTTCATTAAGACTCTCCCTAATTTGATTAACATCAGCCTCGTGTTCACTCTGACCTATTTCTCCTTTCTAGCCAAGAGCTGCTAGCCAGGCACCTAGCAGAGTGCTGATTGAAAACCTGTGCATGAAGGCAGTAAACCAGTCAATAGGTAATTCATCCTTCCTTGAGCAGGCGGGGGGGATACAAAATGTGACCGCATCAAAGCAGGGTGGGAAAAAGAAAGCGGAACCAATCATTCTGAGTACAGATGATGCATATGAGCTTACTTGCCTGGGAGCAAACAACTCAGTAATGCAGTTTAACACAGCTGCACACTCTGTACAGGAAGAGCCATTCGCCACCAGAAGGACTTTGCAAGCATCCTGCTCCTGGACCACAGGTACTCACGCCCTGCTATCCTTAACAAGCTGCCACAGTGGATCAGGGAGAGAACCCAGGTCAAGCCTGCCTTTGGATCAGCTTTTGCAGAATTAAGAAAGGTCAGAACTTTTTTCTCACGTACTGCTGCAGAAATTGTTTCCCACTGTATTCACTTGTACTTTCTTCAATCCTTCAGTTTGATGCTTTAGTGTTAGTTATCTGGTTTCATGTGTTCCTAGTTTCACCGAGGGAAAGCAGACTGATGCAGACCAGAGAAGCGGGCTGTAGATCAACTCTGTGATCCACACCTTTTGAAGAACACCCAAAGCAACGCAGGTTCCTGTTTTTCTGTTCCAAGTGGTTTGCTAATCTCCTCTCTGCCCCCATTGTTTGTTGTTCAGTATGAGCACTTGGCCTTCACCACCACAGCCAGGAGGGAAACCAGTTGAAGGACCAACACTAGTGAAGGTAGCAGAAGGCTTCTCTTTGTTTACAGCTGTTAAGGTTTTATTTAAGTCTATTAAATATTTTCAACCCAGACACTGAAGTGTGGGGATCATTATTATTTTGTTTGAACACACTGGCTTTGCCACATCAATGGCTGACTTTAGGGGGTCTGACGACCGAAGTTTACAATTCTTGTGGAATTTTTAGCTGTTACCTTTAAGGTAACAGGCCATTAGTTTGTACTGTGTTGGAATTACACAGTGAGGCAGGTAAGATGTGGGTTAGTTTTTTAATCTCCTTTCTACCTTGCTTCAAGCTGGTACCGGATTGAAGGACTGAGTCATTCTTTCAAGGGGAATAATGATACGGCCATAACACAGCACACCACTTCTCCTTTGATCACTTTTAATCTTAGGATCACTCTGTGCTTTTAACTGCATACAGTCTTTTTTTTGAACTCACAGTAACTTTCTGTGAAAAACGGTCAAACTTTTTTGGTGCAGTTTCCTAGAGGTTCTTTCCTGTGTTCTGGGCTGGAGGGTAATTGACAGCAGCAATGGCTGTATAATCCTAGGGCTGTGTAATCCCACAGCCATTCTCAGCTCTTTCTGTCATCACAAACAAGGCTGGTCAAAGAGGTTGTTTTGCCTCCTTGCCAGTTTCAGCTGGTAGCTGGATGCTACCTCTTAAGGCTCTTCTCAGTGAAAAAAACATGTACATTTAGACATGGAGCTGGTACCTGCTCCCTCTGTGTTAACTGGCCAAAGAACAAAAGGGAAAACACAGCTGCTTCTGACAAACTTCTGCTCTGAGTCCCCTGCCCCTTCTGTGAGCACAGAACTCCCACTCTGGCTAAGCTCTGCCTGGAACTCACTGAAATCAGCAGCTGGAGTAGGGGGCTTGTAGACAGCTGGTGCCCTCCTGCCCTGGGGTTGTTGTTGTTGGTGTAAGGTTAGACCCAGCCTGAGCTGAGAGTAGACAGATGGGCTTTTCCCTTTAACTACCCTTTATTGAGCACGTTTCCCTCCTTTACCAGAGTGAAGGCTACAAGGACCTCCTTCCTTGAGCTTTATTGCAATTTTTCAGAAAGCAACAGCCAAAGAATTGCCATAAGGCAGGGACAGAAAGAAACCATCAAGTACAGAGGCACCAGTAATTAGACTTTTCCGTGAAGGGTCAGACAGACTCTCTCTTCCACTTTCATTCACTCACCACTATCCAGCCTCATCTTCAAGGACTCAGGACTTGCAACATCTAAACAAACATGAGCTTCAGCAAGCACACAGCAGAGACAAATGAGTCAAGGACTGTTTGCCTGCCAGAAATGCTCCGGCAGTCATCACCAGTCACGTTAGGCAAGACCAACGGCCCTTTAAATCAGGAACAATACTTGTTCTGATCCTCTGAGTGCAAGCTGCCCTACTGCCCTCCAGCTAAGGCAGGATTTATTGATTCATTGTGAGCTGCAGCAGGATTTGAGCTGGATTGTAGTATTTGGAGTGGAGACCAGCAGACAGCAGAAGAAAATCCCTCATTGGTAACAATTTGGTTGTGGTTAGTTCCTGCTGCTCCTCTTCCAGAAGAAATAACAGGGTGCCCTCCCATGCCAGAGCCCACTTTCTGTAGATCCTTCCAGACTGGTGACTCAAAGGTGCGTAGTTCGAGTCCTGGGATTCATGCTGATGCACAACTGCTACCATCTATGACTCCCAGTCATCCTCATCCTCTTCACCCGGGGGCTGCTGTGGGGGTGGGAGGGGTGGTATCGAGTCTGATATACGAGCAAAGGCACCAGCAGGACTGCCAGGAGCATCGGGGTTTCCTGAGGCTCCCGGCCCTTTCCCTGAAATACCTGGTAGGGAAGGAAAAGTTCCAGTGAGTGGCACCTGGGGCCTAGAGAACACACAATCTTAGTGAAGGTGAAGTGAAACACATGGCTTGTGGCACTGTGCCTTAAGCAGCCAGCTGACCCAAATCAAGTAGAACTGCAGGTGTGCTGAAACGGCATCACAGCTCTGTGAAAGGGCTTGTTTCAGCAAAGCTCTGCCTGAGCAGGTCCATGCCCTCCCCTGCCCTGTGTGGGCAACACAGATGCTCTGAGAGGGAGCAAGGGGCCCGGCTCCCCTGGCACTGATGAAATTCTAATGAATACTGCTGTCTCACCCTCACCCTGCAGAGCCCCTCACTGGCAGTTTTCAGAGCCCATTATCTGTCTTGGGCACACAATCTCCCTCTGGTGTCTCCAGTTGATCATTCAATGGGAGGTTCCCCAGATATCCCCCTTTAAATGCACTCCCAGCCATGTTGTGGCACACGGACCTAGGAAGGAGTCTGCCCCTGGTTCTAGGGCTGTGGCTGATAACTGAGGTGCCTGCAAAAGCTCTACCTCCTTCCTAGAGGGACGGAGCAGCCCACCCTGTGTGACAGTACCTTTGCGCCTCAGCACCAGCTTGTTGAAGAGGTCTGACATCAGATCTCCACCTTGTCCTGTAGCTCTCACTGAAACAGAGCAAAACCCCAAGTGTCACATGAGAAGGAAGAGTCAGTCTGAGCCTAGCAGTAAGGTAAACACATTTTCTTGGAATAGTCTTTTCAGAGTAAGGAAAAATAATATAGTCTTCAGCCTCGTACCACATCCATATCCTCCCCTCCCAATACAGCCCAGTTTCACATCAGGAAGCCAGGCACTGTGGGGTAACAACATTCTCTGGGGCAATTTAAGCATGGAATTGCTCCAGAAACGAGAGGGCTTGGGCATCTACAGTCTCATTCTGCCAAATCAACTGTTTCAATACCCTCAGCAGCCACCCAAACCAACATGCTCAAACCAGCTCAACTCTGTCCCTCTCTTGGCTCCAGGGATTCCTTTGACTGTCCCTCACCTGTGAACTTCTGAGCATGTCCTGAGAAAGAGCGGGTGTCCACCAAGAACATTCATGCTTGCCTGGCAGATGTAATGTACTGAGTCCACAGAGGACTGTCTAAATGGAAATACTGAGACCTTATGCCAACCTGTAAGGAGAGAACATCTCTCTGCTCTGTATAGTCCTCGTGCTCCTGGATGCCAGCCTGCCTCCAGACCTACATATCTCAGCCTGGGGCAAAGAGAAAGGAAGACGAGATTTGTATAAGAGCCTCAGCACCTTGTTCTTGTTCCTTTTGCTTCTTCTTCTCCAGCTTCCTCTCCTTTACGCTGCGGAGGTTGGCCTTCCCAATGCCCCCGGCCTGGCGAATGGATTCCAGGAGACTGGCACGCCCAGTTGAGGGGTTCACCACCTCCTTTGGAGCTCCCTGGACTGAAGCTGCAGGGAAAGGAAGAACATGCATCAGCCCCAAGCCCACCTGAATCCCCACAGAAAGTGCTGCTAATGTCCTGCCATCTTCTTTTTGGGACTGACACAGACACTTTCAATCACAGGCTCACACTGAGCTCAGCCAGCAAGAGGCCTGCCAAGATGAAACTGAAGGCCTGCAGCCCCACAGGCAGGCAGGAGCAGCTTCCCTCTTCTGCCAAGAGGCCGTTCTAGAAGTGCACTGAGGGCATGAGCTGAAGCTAGGGAGTTGAATTAGATTCTGCTGGTGAAGCAGGTGGAGGTGTACAGCTCTTACCTGCAGGCTTGCTGCTGTCCTCACTTGCTGTCCGGGCTGGTTCAGATGGGGCTGTAGGTTGTGGCAGGGGTGGTGGGGGAGGCACAATAGTTGGTGTAACAGGAGGAGGTGGGGGAGGAGGTGGTGGGGGAGGTGGCAAGAGCCCAGGATCCTGAAGGTCTGAAAGATGAAAGAAGTTGCATCTGAACAGTCTTAGAAGACATCAGTCTCAGAGCTTCAGCTGAGAGCGTTCCGTGCCTCAGCAGCAACTGATACAAGACCCTCAGCATGCACCATGCATCACAGCGCTTTCACCCTGTGCATCATCCCTTACAGCATATACAACCAAGGCAAGGGTCGAGATTCACTATGTTCCCCAGCTCCATTCCACTGGGCCTGTCCAGCTCACCCAAGAGATTCCTTGCTGACCTGAGGCCAGTCCCTCACTGCACACTGCTCTTTTGCCCCTGCAGTCACCTGTGGTGAGTCTGCTCAGAGTATGGCCAGCACTTGAGCAGGCTACAGCTTTGACTCAGATCCAAATGCACCCTTCTGACCTCTCCACTAAGGGAGTTACCACCTTCTCTCCACTTTCAGTGAACCCCTCCCCACTTCATCCTTCACAGGGTCCTGGTAATGGCGATTGGAAATACCTGCTTGTGAAGGCTCCACTGACTCAGTGCTGAAAGTGGGTAGCTCTGGAATAGCACTGCTTGGAGCAGATGGTGCGATGCCAGGGCCCAGGTCAGCGCTGTACATGAGATCTGCAGCAATGCCAGGCAGGTCTGGCAGGTAGGATGGCACATCAATCTCAGGGACCTGGCCCAGATCTGGCACGTAGAAGTAATTTTCAGCTACCTAAAAGAAACACAAAATAAAAAGAAGTGCAGTGAAGGCACTCCTTTTCCTTGCAGCAAGCAGGGGCACTGCAGAGAACAGCCTGGGTGGCAGTCAAGGCTGGGCCTTGCTACAGTGGCTGGCCCTCAGCTGTCCATACAAGTCTGTGCTCTTGTTTGCTAAACACAATGCTTTCTCCTCCAGTCTGACCCGACAAGCTCCTAGCCTCCTTTCTTCAGCCTTAAACCACACATTCAACCATACACCAATAAAGCTCTAGGTACAGCTTTACAGGGTGTTTGTTACAAGGTCGGTCATGCAGAGGCAGCATAGACTGGTGCCCTGCCTGCCTCATATCCACACCAAGCACCACACCCCTTTGTTCAGGCTGGTTGGCCTTTCCATTTTCATTAGCAAGTGGCCCTGTCCAGCAGGAACAATGGGGCACAAGCCTTCCCCCAGGCACCTCACACCTACTCCTCTACAGAAGTTAGCACAAGGGAGATAGATGATCAAGTGATGGAGTCTCCAAACTCCTCTATAACTTTGAGCAGCAAGGTGAATCATGTTACATGACACTTCTCACACCATCCAGCAAATGACTGAGAAGAGAGACACCTGCCAAGTTTGAGGGCTTCATCTCATCCATTAAGCCCAAATCAGGACTGCAGGCATGAAAATAGGCAAGGTCTTTCTGATAAGCAGGTTACCCTGCAGCCATGTGGGGGCATTCCTCTACTGTTCTCCACCCTATAAAAGCTTTCTCCTCCTCTCAGAAAGCTAGGTCCATACTCTTGACTGGGAAGCAACTGCATCCCCTCAGCTACATCTCACCTGCCGGTCCAGCTGTCCCCTTTCGGTGATGGAGAGAGGAGCATCAAAGAGCTTCTCTTCTGTCTCTGTTTCCAGAGCCACATGGGTCTTGGTCACTGCTCCAGCTAGTGGATCCAGGAAAACATACTTCTTGTATCTAGGGCAGAAGGCAGGCACTTCAGCGAGGCCACCTCAACAGTGTTAGTCAAGAAGGACTTGAAGGAGAGCTCCCAGCTTGCTCAAGCAGGTGGAACATGTTGGGCCCTCCCTCAATCTCCTTTTAGCCCTTTTTAGCCTCACTCCTCCACAACCAGGAGCCCAGTTGTTCTCCACCCTTCCAGCACATGCATTCATCCTGCAGCAAAGCCCTACCATGCTGCCCACCATTACCTAGCTCACCTCCCACTTTCTGGCCTGAGACTGCCTCAAAACCTTCACCAAGACAACAGTCTCTCCAGGTGCCTTATTAATAAAGGGGAAGGAGGAAAGAAGAAGAGGGGAAATAATCAGGAGCTTGTGAAGAAAGAAGAGGTCCAGCAGCTGAAAGGTCAACTAGGACTTAAAGAAGATCTTCAGTGTAGGCAGAAGGAAGAACCATGAGGCAAAGTCTGATGGGAAAGGGAAGTGCAGTGCAGTGTGTGTGGCAATGGAGATATTAAAGCAGTGACAGTGGTTAAGTTTTGCTGTGAGGAGCCATCAGGAGAAAGAGCAGTACCTAAGCAGGCAAGTGGGGCAGAGGACAAGTGACAGCAGCTCTCAAGGCTGGTGAGAACTTGCAGGAGGAAGACAGAAAAAAAAAAGGAAGCGTTAAGCTGAGTTGAAAGCAGGTGAATGAAGGATTCCACCCATAGGTCAGAGTGAGAAAGGGTTGCTAGCTGGGAGCTACCAAAACCTGTCCCATCAGGAGTCTACTAAGCAAGATCCCAAGGAAAGCAAGCAGCACAGCTGCCCTGAGGCAGGGATAGCTCCTCTGAGAACAAGCAGAGACAGGTGGCCAGCACAGTCCTGAGCCAACTCACAGGTTCTCCGTGGTGTTGAAGAGCAGCAGGGAGCTGAGAGAGCTGATGTTCCTTGGGAGGCTGCCGAGACCTTCTTCTGCATCATCTTCCTGGTGAATTTTGGTGTTCACACACACTGGGAAGTACTTGAGCTTCTCCTGCAAGAAGACAGATAATGGGTAGCAAAACACTGAAAAAAAAAAAAAAGCCAATGGGACAGCTCTCCCCAGCCACCAAAACCCACAGTACTGGTTCCACTACCAAGTCTGGGAATCCTACTTCTCCCTCTCTACCTCCGTTTGAGAAAGAAAGCACGTGGACAACACTGCAACCCCAGGTGATGAATCTCATCCGTTCAGGCCCATGGAATATGCTTTTGGTGTTACAGATGGGTTATGCTGTTGGTGTTTCAATGGCAAGAATCCATCAAAATATAACAGCCATTTAGGTTCTTATAACCAGCGGGAGGGATTGAGCATCTCTATCTGAACTAAGCATTTGTTATCTCCAGCTGGGAGATATGACACATTTTCACGCAAGCAGAGCCCCCAAACATCTCTGTTACCTCCCCTCTTCTGCCCTCACCTCATGTTTTAGGAGAGGAGATCCCACTGGTGGGGTATGCAGAGAAGGCAAAGAAAGGTTAGGGAAAAATTGCATGCCTTCACTAGGCAAGAGATCAGGCAGAAGGGAGTATGCAAGGTGGAACGTGCCAGATGGTTTTGCAAAGCCTGAGGGATTTGCAGGAGTTTTCAACTCTAATGAACTGAAATCTCCTTTCTCTTGGTTCTAAAACTTCATGCATAATATATAGAACTCCCTTTAGAAAAGAACTTATTGCATCTGAACTGCTTGACTTTTATAGAGCACAGGAATTGCCATCCCAGATCAGACCAGAGTTTCAGCTAGCATGACAGCATCCGCTGCCAGATGCTCTGGGGGGATGATGTTCAGTGACCACAACACACTGCTGCATGCACAGCTCTACAGAGAGGAAAGGAATTTGTCCCTGAACCCAGAGAAAGCCTATGAAACAGCAAACTCTCATCCTAGACCTCTCCCCACATCCCTCCTCAGCACCTTCACAACTCTTTCTTCAGTCAAATTGGGACAAGCAGCAGCCTCACAGCTCCATGCTGATACAGCTCCCAATGCTGCCCGCAGCCTTCTACTGCCTCGCTACTTCCAGCATCACCAGATGTACTTTGTACTTGCAGTGGGGAATTGGAGACCATTGCTGGTTCAATTTTAAGAACGCAGCTCAGCAACATAAGCAGTTTCCACTGATGGAAATTTCAGGTTTGAATTGGGTAGTCAGAAATCCCGGGAAATGGCTTAGTCACAGCTCAGCAAATCCACTACAAGTCTGTATGGTGCTCCGAGTCTACAAACACTGTGGGAAAAGACTGTGAGGTTTTGATTTTTGTTTCCTCCAAATAACAGATTCCAACTTGTGAAAAATATGCTGAAATAAACACCTTGCATTTCTGCAGCAGCAAATAGGCAAAAATACATGAGTAAATTGTTATTTAGAGACTCAGAAATTCAGAAATAAAGGTTCTTTTTGATCATTAATATTCATTTTGCAGCGTTTAATTTTTGAAGCATGAGGGAGTACTGATGTTTTTGCAGACTGTTCACACACACTTAGCCCTCGAGTCAAATATATATTTTTTTACTTCTCTCTTTGTGGATTCCAATTAGCACTGGAAGGCTGTGCGTCACTTTAAGGGTGGAGCGAGAAACCAACCATTACCTACGTTTACTTATAAGTCTAATCTAAGGTAGTTACAAAAGCACCAAGCGTATTACTCTGAAATGTAAATCCTTTTAATTTAAATGCCACCAAAACGCAAGCCTTAAAATATCTAGATCTGTTTTGATATTTAGAATAGGTACCTGTCATTAATAATATCCTGCAACTGTGAACACTGCAAGTTGACGCATCATTTTTCTTAAAGTGACAGGAAGACCATAAGCCAAAGGTTCAGCAGCCTCAATGTACTGAAGTCGTGGAGTGTGTTTGAATGCTTCAACACCTGAACATGGTGATTTGGCACCCAGCAGGATCGTCTATGATGCACTTCCAGCCACTTTTCTCCCTAAGAGCCTATGATTAACAATATATAAGTCACACTAGTTCTTAGGTTTAATTAACACGCAACCTTACGATGGGAATTGGAGTGATGCATCTGAAACCCCCTTCTCTCTCGTGCTAATGGAGGCTAACTGGAAATGCAGTTAAAGGTTAGAAAGTGCCTGCCTGCACCTATGGTGAACTCTGCAGAGCTCACTGGGCAGCTCAGGTTACTGACACTGCTGAAGTCTAATGAGGAATCTTCAAAAACTTGCAACTGTCAGTTGGACCTCTCCCCAGTCCCAGATGGACCATGTTTCCCACAGTCCAGAGGAAAACCCTGTTTTCCAGCCTCTGGAAGGGTACCTCAACACTCAGACACATCCCACCCACAAAGACAGTGCCCAGCACCTCAGAAGCCCTAAAAGCCTGCAGCTAGATCACATTTAACAGTGCCTAGCTGCTAACGCAGCCATGTGCAAAGCAAGTGAGTCAGGCTTAACACAAGGACCCCATCTCCAATGTTCTTATCTGTCAGCACTATGCTACCAGCCTATGCCTCTGTCCTCTCACCAGCTGAGTCTTCATTTGCTTATGGAATGGAGGGCAAAAGAGAACTTCCCAGAAGGGAAGCATTTTTAAAATAAAATTGCAGAACCACATACAGTTCTAACTCAAATGCTTCTGCCCCAGAGCACAAACCCTAAGCACTCAGCACAGGCTGGCATTACTTACCCTCAAAATGACAGGATCAGAGCTTGCTTTCCTGGCAGTGTGTGTGTGTGCGTGTGTGTGTGTGAGTGAAGTTAGCAAAGGCTACTGTGACTGCTCCCAGCAAAAAGGCCCTCATTAGAAGTGAAAACAGGCAGTGAGCCTCTGCTGAAAGCCCTGAATAATTGAGGAGGGTATAAATGCAAACATTAGACTTCTCTCTGTCACATTTCATTACTGCAAGGCACATCATGCTCATGCTCAGCTGTAGATAAGAAGGCTCTGTCCCCCTGGACGGCGTTAGGACCACACTGAGCCCCACTGCACAGCAGCTGCCACTCCTGCAGGTCCTTCTATCTTTCATAAGCCAGTTGTCAGCACAGCACTGTCCTACCCCACAAAAGAGTTGTGGGTGACAAAGCCACAGGCCCTCCCAAAAAAGAAATAGTCCAAAGGGAGAACTGAGTCACAGGAGGAGGGAAGAAGCACAAACATATACTGGAGTCTGCAAAAATCCCTGTGGTGATGGCAGCCTTGATCATGGAGAGCAGAACTCTGCAATGGAACAGAGATCGCCTGGGCGAGGGCAAGGGTGGCACTGCAGGTGAGTGACATAGGCTGCACAGAAGAGCATGCAGAGCTTACGAGCAGGCAAGTCGAATGGGCACGCCGTTTGCTCTTTGTGGAGCCTCTACCAGTTGATTCTCTTTTCAGTCACCTCCCTGTGTGAGGGGCTGTATATCAGCACACCTCCCTTGCCAATGCCTGTGTACCTCTGCTCCCTGCAGACTGTCTGACGGGATGGGGCCATCAGACAGCCAGCACAACAGAAGTTGGCTTGCCCCAGCTGGCCGACAACAGGTCCCATGCAGCTGTGCCCTGGCCTACTGCCAGGCCTTGAAGGATGCACAAACCCTGCTCAAGTGTGCCAGCTGTCCATTTGGCCAGCAACTCCACTCCCGATCTGGCTGAAATATTCATAACTACCTCACTGTACAGAGACCTCAACTCCATTAAAACTCAGGAAGGTTTAGTGTGATAAAACATTCAGTGGCAGGTTTATTTTTGGGCCACGGCATACAAGGACGTGGAAGCAAGTCTCTTAGGGGGAAGAGAGCAAGGAAGCTGAGTTTGAACCCTGATGACAGTTTGAACCCTGACCTGCCAGGAAGAGCACGTCTGCTACTCCTGGCACAGCACACATGCGGTAACCTTTACAGATACCAACTTGTTCTCTCTTCTTTCCAATCCAGTTTGACCCAAACTATCAGGGTGTTTCTTTGTATCAAACCTATCCCTTCTCAGACCACCCTAAGAAGCATCTCCCCCTCACTCAGTACACAAACAAGAAAGGAACGCCACCTCCTTCAACACTACCTGCTGCAGACAACAGCTGTTCAGCTCCCCACCCATACCTAAAACTCTGGTCTACTTCATCAAGGAGACTTCTCTTTGCTTGCTCATCTCACGGTCTTTTCTCCTCCTCCTTACCTGCAAGGATTTTTCATCCAGCATTCGGTGCTTGCTCTGGATCTTGTGTCTTGGCCATTTCTGTTTAGCTGGGTCTTCTGCACCAGCAAAAATCGAACAGTACTCCTGCAGCCGTTCAGGGGCAGGATACTTGGCACTGGAAAATACCTGAGGAGAGACAAGGAGGGATTTCAAAATCCCAGCAACTAAGCAATCTTCTGCTGCAGAAACATGTGGAGTAGATTAAGGCACATGATCTGTGCTGCCTGTGGGAATGGAGAGCCTTGGAGTTAACAGGCTCTTAAGGGCTATTTCTGCAGAAACCATCATGAGGGCCATCAATTTTGAAAGTTGAAGTGCCAAAAATTCTCTCTCTCTGCAAGTAACAGGAGGCAGAAAGGCTTCCAAAGTGCAGGAAGGGAACTGGAAACACTGTATTAAATACAGCAGGAATGGTAAAAGGAAGACTTCCACCAGTTTTACACAGCTCACACAGATAAACATGCACTGGAGGGGGTGGCTCTCTATCAGCAGCTTCTATTCAATGCAAGATTGTAAGAACACGAAATGAGAGGGTGTTGGGCATAGTAAAGCACAAAGCTGTTTTATTCTAAAGGTAGTAGTTAAGGCAACAACTTATATTGGCTTTGTATGGCCAGGAACTGGGTAGCCCGTGGATTTAAGAATCATTAACTGGCCCTGTCAGAAGGGGGACTCTCATCACAGCTCCTGCTCAGCAGCAAGGAACAGAGAAGTGGATGGGCAGCATCTGTTTTTCTGCAGAGCTTGCTTCAGGGATAAAGATAGAAGGTGGAAAGGAGAGACGCCATACAGCCTTCACTGGAGTCACTACCTTAATAGCCTTCTTGCTGCCCTTGATCTTCTCAATCTTTGCTTGTGCGAGCGTGACTCTCTCACTGATTGCCTGAAGCTGTGCCCGGCTGGTTTCCACCCGCTGAGAGATCCTAAGGAACAAGGACATTGCTTAAGGATAAGAATTTAAAGCCAGAGATTTTTTGGCAAGAGCCAGTCACCACACCAAGAGGAAGGATGTGAATCTCAGTGGTCTGGATTGTTTCACAAGGCAAGATAGTACAGGGTCAGATACTCGTCTTGGTCCCATTAAGAGTTTCTCACGTGCTCCAACATGAAATAAGACAAGTCTGTGATTTTCTGTGCGCCATTCTCCTCGCACAGCACAGTCAGAACTGAGTGAAGAAAACCCCATGCCTCACTGCAATTACAGCTAATAAGAAAGCCACAATAAGTTATCAACAGACAACAACCTTCTCAGAAGAGACCCTCCTCCTCTGTACATAACTATGAGGTGCAGCCCCACTTCAAGCTCAAATGCTAACAATTGTTCTGAAGCTTCATCCCTTTAGCAAAACCAGCACAGAATATTTTTGTGACCACACAATCTTTCAGGAGCCACAGTACTTCATTTCAGCATTGTTTTGTAGCAACGAGTTCCAGCGGATCATTTTGTGCCTGGAAAAATCAATCTCGGTCTTATCTTTAAATTCCACCCCCAAGTCCCCCTTTGCATTTAAGCAGAGAACTCCTATGCTCTTTTTTTCGTTCTGTCTGTATAATTCCTTTCAGTAACAAAGGTGACATTAGCACTTTCCAACTCTACCACAGTCTTTTCAAGTATTTTCACCCGGTGCAATGCACTCTCTCAGTAAAAAAATGGATTCCTCTAAAGGCTCCTGCTGGCTGCAGCTACAGAAAAAAACAAAAGTATGAGCAGCCAGCTCACCTTCTTTCATTCTGAAAGACCTCCATTTCTTTCTCTAGCCAGCTTTAAGCGTTTCTGCTTGCTCATAACCAAGCATCCCTCTTTCTGAAGGCGTGAAAACCCTCCCTCATGCACAGGGCAGGAGAGCACACAGTTTATTCTACTCTTTTTGAAGTGGGAGATGAGCAAAACTGAACCTCATGAGATCCCGCCTCTCAGTAGCATCCTCCACTTCTTCATCCTTTTACTTCAAATACAGCCTAACAGCTTGTATTTTGTACCAACACTAAGTGCAAATCTGTTCATGGTTTCCTTCCCACACCCTCCCACTGTCTCAGCGGAGGAAGTCCACATTGTTTATATACTTGATAGTTCTCAGAGTGGCTTATGTTGTTCCTCTCAGCGTGCATTTCCTAGCACCTGTCTGCAGCAAATTCCATGTGTCACAGGGCTGTCCCATTGCCTTGCTTTGTTAAAGCACGAGATGTTTCCCAAGGAACTAAATCTTTTCTAACTGTTCTTTCCAGCCAGTTTTCCCACCTCACAGTTTGCTTCTTTTGCACATGTTTTATAATCGTATTGATTGACCTCATTCCCAGTGCTGCTCCTGGCGGCACCAGCCTATTTTTACTTCCTCCAAAGATGAAAAAAATTGGTCATTTATTTCTGCTTTGCCTCTCTCCCTCATATCAATGATGTAATTTTCCCTCTCACCTGTGAGTAGACCTCTGTCCTAAAAGAACTGAGCAAAGCCTTCTCGAAGCCCAAAGTAAAGAGAAAACATCAAACAGTCAAACACTTCTAGTCAGCATTCTGCTGATTCCCAGACCCAGGTCTCAGGGGTCAACGAGGCATACCTTTCTCTTCCAAAAGGAAACCTTAAGCAAATACTCATGCAAGCTCAGACCTGAAAACCAGTACCCATTCTCCACCCATTACTCCAGAATGCAAGTAGGCCAAATGAGGAGGCAATTTCTTCTTTCGCTACCAGCCCCACCACTCCTTCCCCATGTATCACCTCTTCCTCTACCTTCCCAAGGAACTCAACTACAGCTTCATCCTTCCCTTCTACTCCCAGATAATTAAGAGTGACTTCAGCCAGTCATGGAATGGCACTATCAGACAGACTGCCTCCTCCCTGCACAAGGGAAACTGGGGAAGCTGTCCAGTGGCAGCTCAGGTGTTTCAAATCACTTTGGCTGCTCCCAGAAGCACCCTGTGATCTGTGATTTCTCCTATGATCTCTGCTCTAGGATTTGCCAGTCTGACATTAGCACACCTGCCAAAAACCTTCACCTGAGATTCACCTTCACAGAATACAACAGAGAAGGAATACACACCAGAATTGCTTTATTTCTTGCTGACCAAGGTAACTACCACAAAATGATTAAACACTCTTAACCCAACTAATCCATGAAATTTCATCACATGCACAGGTTCCTAGGAATATATGACTGTTACGTGTGCACGGTCCAAGTTACAGTCAAAGTGGTGTTTGAAAAGACAAGATACATGAAGGGCTGGAGGGCTGTGTACCCAAGGATTTACAGGGCAAATCCTTTGAAGCAGTGCTGTATTTGGACTTCAGTCTCCATTTAGGAAGGATTGAGTTACCGAGTGCTGTTCATATGAAAGGCAACGGCAGGATGGGCAGGAAGGGTGAATGTTAATAAAATGGTTTGTCACTGCTCCTCAGAATCCTGTTTCCAGGCAGCCGAGAATACCACCACCATCTGAAGCTATCCTGTGCCCATCTTATTAGTCACTGCTGTGTTACTTTGCTCTCGGTACTCTTTTCTGCTTCAGGAGCTCCTGTAGTTAGATTCAACGTGACTTCAGAGCTGCAGAGAAGCAGGAGGCGCACAGGGACAGCCCTCCTGCGCACTGGGGACAAGGGAAAAGGGGGCCTGCAGGAGAAAGAATATATTCACCTGCTTTCAAAACCCAGGCACAGAGCCAAGCCAACCTTCCCATCCCAGTGCTTTTCTTTGCGGAAGTAATACATGCGGCAGATTAAATCTATCTAGTGGATTATCTCTTAATCCACAGAGACTTTTATTTTTATCTATGCAGATATTAAAGCCAATCTTTCAGCTGCTTTGACTCAAGCTTTCACTTCCTCCATCCCTCTAAAATCTTTATACTGTCAAGCCCCATGCACCCCTCACCTTCAGCTGAGGGCTCCCTTCTCCTAAAGCCTCATGTTCTTTCCCATTTTAGAGAGGACTCCCTCTAAGGACCTAGAGCAGTTCTCAGGAATATTTCCCCCTCTCCTCACCGCTGCCCTGACAGGCTGTGCATCTTCAAGCCCATCTGCAGCCATGGAGTTTATCATTTCCTATTATCTCCTTATAACTTCTCTGATAATCCTCATATTCAGGCAGCTACAGAGAAATCTCCTCTGCTTCATCTGTGCCTGCTCAGAGGGGAAAGATTATTGTTCTCTTACTCCCACAGGAAAACATACGAAGAATTTGGGATGTGGCACGAAAGACACATGATGCAATAACAATAACAATATTCCTCTTAGTCTCCAAGCACTCCAAAGTGCCAAGTTAAAATTGAGATTTTTATCACCTATATTTGCTTGGGATCACACAACATCGGAAAAAAAAAAAAAAATTAAAATCAAAGCAGGTTTGAAGGTAGGCTGACAGGTTACCAGAAAGGTGACTGAACAAAGCAGCTTGAGGAAAGACAGAATTGAGCTGGAGGGAAGTATCACAGCAGAAAGAGGTCCTTTGCTGTCCACGTTCAGCACACACATCACCCAAAAGTGACAGGGACGACAAAACTTGGGACACAGGAGAGAGAAGAGGCGAACTCCACATCAAGGTGAATGAGAAAGGTGAGCCAGCAGAGCCTGGGAGCAAACCTCTCTGGAATACCAAAGTACTTCAATTTCATGTCTGAAGTACAAAAGTAAGTGATCAACCAAGGAGAAAGAACATTACAGAGTAGAATGAGAAACAAAGTTGCACAGGAGGATAAGGCATCCAAAGTATTAAATGACTTCTTTTTTCTTAAATGAGGACTGTTCACACCACAGCAAGTCAGACTTCTGGTCTCCTCCCAGCCTGGGCTCCAGTCCTGAGAGATAGCAGGGAGATGCTTGGCATTGTTATTCTAAACCTAGGTACACACTATAAATTTGTTCTATAAACCCTTGGCTTTTTGCCTAGAAGTCAAGCTGCTATTTTTTTTTTTTCCCCCCTAACAAAGAGTGGCTTTATTAAATTCCTGTTACTGCAGGAGGTGTGAATCATAAGGGACAGCATTTACGGTTCTTGAAATTTAGCACATCCCCAGGCTCTACAAGGAGCCTGGTGCTGAAACAGGGTAACGGTGAAGAATAACACCATTGGGTGCCACGTATCCAAATTACTGGTAGTAAAACCAGCAGGGTACCACAGCTGATCAATGATACACCATCAGACCTCTAGGAAAAGGTTCAATGGGTTTCCAAAAGGCTGTCAAGGCAAGGAGAGACCATGTGCAGCTCAGGGAAAGGAATAAATTGTTTCATGATGAAAGCAGAGCAAGGTGGTGCTGAGCCACCAAGTATCTATCTTCCCCCTCATGCTGTAGAGCCCACTTTCCCCTGGGTCCCAGGAAATATGTCATCATTCTTTTCTACTACTATTTGTATGCTGTGGCAAAGAGTGACTGTAACTTCCAATTTGTGTAAGAATCTCCTTGGAAGAAGGCCATGGCTCCTCAGGTTGCTGAAGTGATCAACTATCAACCCTGGAACCCATTAATAAGGGCTTATGCGCAGAGTCCACTAAGGCCTAAACAATCCAAGAGAGCTAGGGTAGAATACCTTAGTGTATCCTGGCTGGCTAACAAAGAATCATGTTTGATAAGGCACTAGAGCCTTCTTTACAGACAGCCTTACTGCAACAACCAGCACAGCCAGAAACGGACTGCGAGAAGCTGGAGTCCCCCTCTCACCACTCCCACAGAATGATTCTACCCAGCAGCCAGCAACACTGCAGTATTGAGACAGAGAGGGCAAGAGAAAAGCTGCTGAAACGTGTACTGTTTACAGCAATCCAGGGAAGCGTTCAAAGCCAGCTCACAGTGTCAGTTCACCTTGAAAGTTGGGAAGGCAAAAAGCAAAAATGGACGCTTTTACAGAAAGCCAAACACATTCAGCCACTCAAAGAAAGATCAACTTGTTTGCTTTCTGCTCTTCTCTCTCCTTCATATTTAAGCAGTTTT